CTTCCCAAATGGCCATTGGGGAGGGTGGAGATCAAGATTGTTGTTGGCTTGTTAGAGCAATGATGAGTATTCATTCCCTGTGAAGTGAATCTGACCATTATACCTTTGTAATTGTTAGACGTGTATTTGAGATTGATTTCCTTGTTATTGTTGTTGTGGATGCTAATGCTGCTACCTATTTTGTGTTTAAAATTGGTGCGCAGAACGTGGTCCTTGTTTAGATTGTTTAGTTTGATATAAATTGTCATCCTAGAGTGACATTTGTTTTGTCTTCAGCCTGATTTTTAAAGTATTCAACCAGTTTTGTGGCAGCTATCCAGTTGTTTTCCTTTTTAGAAATCCTTGTTGGTTTACTTGCATCTAGTTACCTACAAAGGGTCCAGCCATGAAACCTGTAGAGCTATGATGCCCCTCATCTAGAGTTTGCTTTGTTTGTGGATTATTATTGAGAATCAATGGTTGGAGTGGTGCAAAACCCAAACCATACCCTTTAGGGTTGCAGAACATTTGGGTGGTTATATGCCTCCTGTGTCGTGCTACAGTGTCCTTGCCACAAATGAAGGAGTTGTTAGCTCAAGCGTCTTCTCTAGGACAAAATGGTACTTTAAGGATATGCTTTAGATGGACTATTGAGCACATTTTATCTTTTGTGAAAAACCTGATTTTTTGGACCTTGTATGTATGTCCCCCTAATCTAGGGATTTACCTTTGATGTTGCTATGTGCTGTTTCTTGACCATTAAGACTATGAAGGTCTTAAATTTAAGTTGGAGTCTCCAACCTCAAAATGGCTTTAGTTTTCTTGATGTTTTATCCTAGAGCTTGGAATACATTTAAGTTACTGGAATGTAATGTTAGTTATAGAGGCCATTATTTGGAACTCGAATTTTATGTAAGAAAAGTTTAGATCCTCCGTAATTCCTTGATTTGATTTCGCTTAATCTTTTAAATTCTTAATTTAAGTTATATCTTTGAAAACATCTGGCTAACCAAATTTATTGCGAAAATGGGAAATTTGTCCACCTGGATTTTTCTAAAGCATTTTCCTTAGCTTACGCTAGCACTCTTTAAGAATTTTGAGCTATTCTTTCACAAGCTACCCATTGGGTTAGAGGCCATGATTTAGGTCTCAATTCGATCAGTGTGTCAAAATTCGTGCCATGCCATTCCTTGCCAGCTCGTTTTTATTTGGAGTTCATAGCATAATTAAGCTATTGTTTTCTGTAGCCTTGGTAAGAATCTCATTTGGGTTTCTTAGGAATGCAAATTAATTCTGCTCTATTCTGGTTCTGCTCTATCCTTCCAGCATTTTGTTTGTGTGGAATTTATGGTCTCTGATATTGTTATGACTTTCTCTGATTTGGAAAAGATCTAGAGTCTGATTTGGGGTTCATGACCGTGAAAAAGGTTTGTCCCTTGATTAGCAAATAGCAATTTTGTAGTGGTGGCTTCATGATTCCCTCCGTTACTCTGATTTTTCAGAAATACTGATTTATTGATTCTGCACTGCTATGGCCATATGATGGTTGTCATATTATGGGCACTAGTTGTCTTAGATTGCGTGAAGCCATTCACCAGTCTAAATGATTCTAGATTTGAGTTTTGGGGACAAAACTCCTTTTTAGGAGGGGTGGATGTAATACCCCATCAAGTGAGAGTTAGGGACCTAATTGTGAAGAAATACTATTAATGAACTTAATGGCAAAAATTTTCACAGTTTAGGGACTAAAAAGAAAACAAATTAGGATAAGGATTAAGCTTAGATATTTTTCTTTTCTTCCTCATTTTCACGCAGGTCTGCTCTGTCTTCTTCCCGATCCTTCCTCCCGAAAAGCCCCCAAGCCACCGACTTTCTCCCCTTGAAAAACCCGGTGAAGGCCTCTTGAAATTTCCCTCCTTTCTTGCTCAAAAACCAAGTTGCAGGCCTAGAACACTCTCCTAAACCCAGAAATTTTCCAGATCTGCGCTGTCCTCTTCCCCTCTGTCCGCCGGCCTCTGCTGTGTGGGGTTGGGTTCGGTTTTCTGGTAAGATTCAGCCATGAATTCCTCCCTTTAACTTTGATTTAGCTTGAGTTAACTTTGGGTTCTACAATTTTTGGCTAGTCCGTAAATCCCCTGCAGCTTGCCACCGACTTCTTCTTCTCCCTGCAGCTCCGATTTTAGCTGGAAAATTCTGGTATGGACAGCCCTTTTAAGTTCGAATTTATCAATTAATTGTTGTCCAATTAGTTGCTCTGTGTTGTCCGAGATCCCGCCGGAATTATGGGATAATTGTGGGTAGCATAAAATGTGTTTTTAAGCTTGGGTTAAGTATAAATTACTTGATTTGGCTGCTGTAAATTTTCTGGAGGAAATCCTGTGTCTTAGGGATTGTTTTGCAAAAGACAATTGATTGAATACAAGTCCTGTTCTTCCATTTTTTTGTCTGTGGAAGTAGAAATCCAAATTGGGTTTTCACGGTTGATGGATAAATGTAATTTAGGAGCTTTTGAGTGAAATTAGGGATTGATCTATTGATTAGACTCGGGTTTAAGAGGGTTTGTGACCATTTTGCTCATAAGTTACCTTTACTGTTCATGTGCACTGTTTGCGAATACTGTTCATAGGCACTGTTCACACACCGAGGGTTAACAATTAACGAGGATTTAAATGATTAGTTTGTGATATAAGAATAAATTTGGAGAGGTCCGGTTATGTGGAGATTGATAGGAATAATATCGTGATTAGGGATTAGTCATGATGATTTCAACTTGAAATTGTGATAGTTCGGTATTAATTCTAAGGTGTTTTGGTTAGGTTCCCGATCGTCCTATCAATTAGCACCGTGAATTGAGCCTTTGGTTTTAAGCGAGTGAGGTAAGTAACTTATGGTAATGCCCTGGATTTAGGGTAAAGCTTTTTAAAAGCATGTTTTGACTTGTTTTTGAAGTGGTGGCAGGATTAAACCCGTTTTATACAAAAGTAAGTATGATTGATTTGAAATGAAATTTTTATGCTTTTCATTAAATTGAGCATGCCTACTTGAAATTTGATTGATTGTCCTGATGATTTGAAAGTGATTGGTAAATAATGATTTTCTGTGAACTTCTGCCTGTTTTGTCTCCGATATGATTATGTTATTGATTGTAATCCTGCTAGTGGGGGTTAAACGCTAGCACATGTCGACATGTTATTGATAGAACCGGTTCGTTCAAGTGTAGCCTGCCAGTGGGAAGTTTAATACACTGGCCATGACCTATAGTGGAGACGTCTATTTCGTTCCCGTATTGTACCCATTTTTTCTGTGATTGCACTTGTTGGCATGCTATAAGTTTAATAAGGGGCACTCCATATTTTACTTATTGAGTTTATCTCATAGTTTTCCCTTGTCCACCATTTCAGGTAGTATGACCCGAGACACGGAAATCAAGGAGAGTGACGAGCTAATTGGCTAGCTATTGCATTTGGACATAGATTTATCGAATATATCATCATCTTTGGAAGATAGATTGTACTTTGAATTTTATGGTATTAAAACAGATTTTGCGAGAATAGGGTTTGGGATTTGAATAAGTTCCGAACCTTGTGCGTTTGTGGGACCCGTCTCACGAGTGCACGGCGTCTGTCGCGCCTCGTATTTGGGTTCTGGGGCGTGACACTAAGGTTATATGATGTAACTCAATTTAATATAGATACTTATAATTTTTATATTTTTGAATTTATTATTTCATGAAAAGGATATATTATTGTTTTTTATGGTTTTTCAATGCTTAATCACCATTAAAATTGATTTCAAAAGTATAATTGAGACTGAGAAAAGATTTTATGCAATAACTTCTAACAATATATATTATGAATTGAATGAAAACCAAAGACAGACTAACATAATTTGTGCAATATTTCTGAAAATTAGACTTTGCTTTCTACTAAATTAAGGAATTTCACAAAATTTAGTATATCTTTATTTATTTAAATTTACAAAAAGAATATAGTTGGTTAATAATGGAAAATAGGTTTGATATAACTTGAGAAAATATAACAAATAGGAAAGGAAATCTTGCTATCACATTAATAGTAAACATCTTGAAAGTATGGTAATCTAAAATTTATATTGATTGATTATAATGAGATCAAATATCTTAGTACGTCATATATTGGTGAGTTTTATTTTAAATTAATATTTTCTTTTAATTAGCTTTAATTAAAAATTCTTCCCTTTTGATTGTTCAAATAATTTTAGAAATTAATTAGTGATAATCTCTACAAAAATATACTTTATTTTTCACTTTATATATTACTTAAGCAACTGATGCACTTATTAGTACTTTAGTGCTTCATGTTGATGTACTGGTTTTGTCTTTAATATTATGGTTGTGTTCTACCAAAACAAAAATTTTGAGGACATTTTATAAATTTGACTGTCATGAATTTTGGTTTTTATTGGTGAATGATTTTCCTTGAAAATTTTAATCTTATATCCTAGCCATTAAGTATCATTCATATCCACTTTGTTCCATTTAAGTTTCTACTTTGTTCCATTTAAATATATACGTAGTTCCATTTATTTACCCCCTAGGTTCTATTTATGTATCTACTAAGTTCCATCTACTGAACTATGTAACTCACACATCTCTTTAACCTATATATATACTTTCAAATTTGTATGATTTCATATGATGGAACAAGAAGTTCATTTGCCATTGTGCTACTTTCTTCCTTTATTTTTATCAACACAATCATTACCATGATTTAATTTGAAGTAATATCTTAAGATACACTAATTGGTATACTTTTTAATTCAACACACTACACAATACATTTATTAAAAAATTATTATTTTCTCATTTGAAATTAAAGACAAACAAATTTAAAGATATAATTATGTATACAGCATATAGAAATTAACTAAACCGATTATATTTATATTATATTTTAATGATTGTACCAAGCGAGTTTCGAAAGATGTGTTGAACCAAAAAGGATACAAATCATTTTCCTTTCATAATATTTTAACATTTGACGAATTTTAGTATCCATAATGTGAAACTTGGAAGAAGTTGAATTTGTTGCCCTTGATTTAATGAACTCAAGTTTCTTGCTGTGAATACTTGATGCTGAAATCCATTTGTTGCAAATAGTTTTGGGGACACAAGTGTTAAAGAAAATCAAGCATCCTTTCAAGATTGCACCAAAGCAATGACATTCATCTGCCATAATCTTCAAGAAGGATTAAAAACTGAATATTTGACAGTTAAGGATTTATTAGAATTATGGTAAATTTTGAAGAAAGGTATGATCACCAAAAATTGGTGATCCTATTGAATGAATGTATTTATAGTTGCATGATTTTAAATATGTTAGCAAGTATAACTCTATAATGTTTCGCATTTCTTAATTAAAATTATGCAAAGAAAACATTATTGATGAAGACACATTGGAGAAAACATTCTCTACTTTTTATGCCTCAAATTTGCTTGTTCTACAATAATATCAAGTGTATTTTGAAAAATATTGAGAATGATATCATGATTTCTTGTTGCTAAACAAAATAATGAGTTTTTAAAAAAATTATCAATCACAGCCTACTAGTTCAGCCTTACTCCCTAAAGTGAATGCAACCTCATATGATGATGATGAGTGTGGCTACGGCCATGGCCTTGGTTGTGGTTGTGGTCATAACTGAGCGTCTAGTCATGGTCGAAATAATGCTTGGTATTGCAATGGTTTTAACCCCAATAAATATAAATTTCCTAAAAGGCAGAAATGTAAGGGGAGAAATTTTTTAAAAGAAGTTTGCAAAGGATCTTGATAGTATTTGTTACAAATGTGGTATAAAAGGCATAAAAAATGTGCTTACCACACAACCAGGCATTTGGTTGATCTTTATCAAGTCTCACTGACTAAAAAGGAAAATGATCTACAAACAAATTTCATTAAATATAAAAATATGGATCTTGATATAGACATAGATGTCTCAAATTTTTTTGACATTGTTAAAAAGTATAATGGTTTTGGTGATGAAAATACTAAATAAAAAATTTGACTTTTTGTATCCTAGTTTTTAAGTATCTTTTCCTAAAGGGCTATTTCCTTTTTTGCATATTATGTTCTGGTGTTTTTTAATATTCAATAAAAAAAAATCATTCCAATATATATTGCTTTCATTTTAAAGTTAAATGGACTTGTATGATGCAAAGTTCAACAATAGAGATTTACATTTTGTTAAAAGTGTTTTATCTATGTTTTAATAATTATAAAACACACTAAAATTATTAATGTGTTTATTTAAGTGTGTAATTTATACATTAAGAGTTGAAAGAAGTTAATGGAATTGGAATGCATTGAAACAAGGACCAAAAATGTGGAAAACAATTGAAGAAGTGTTGTATCTATGTTTTGATAATTATAAAATACACTTCAATTAATGTCCTTATTTAAGTATGTAATTTATACCTTAAAAGTTGAAATAAGTTAATGGAATTGGAATGCATTGAAAAAAGGACCAAAAATGTGGAAAAAATTGCAAAGAGTTGGTTTTCATTTTTGCAACTAGCTTTAGTGAAGAAAGCTTTAGAGAGCCAACTATGAATGTGGTAATTAGCTCTGTTATTCTAAAATTCAAACCTGCAGCTTAGCACATGTGAGAGATGGATACAAAGCCTACTTTGATTCTGTAGTAGGTTGTGATGGAGCATTTAATGATTTTAACAATTAAAAATTTTAAAGATTTTTTAATTTTTCAAACTTAAAGTTCTTAAATAAGTTTTGGGTTTTACAATCAACTCAAAGGAAAATAAAAAATGCAAAGGTAGCAATAAAGCTGGCCTTGATGTTGATAATTGGCTATTCAAAGTTGGCTTGAAAGGTATAGTCGGCTTAATGGTCAAAATTTATAGCGTATTTTCTCTCACCTCAATTGATCTGTAGTGTATTAAATTGACTCCAACAACTATAAGTAGTTAATTTCAACCTTGACTCTATAAATATAAATGGTAAACATTTTAGAGAGCCTCTAAGCACATATTAGAAAATCAAAAAGAAGAGTTGAACTTAGATTTAAAATCCTTTCAAAAGTTTTAATTTACACTTGCAAATTAAATCTTGGAGAGATCATATCTTGTGTAATCTTTCTTTCTAATATATTTTTTATGATCTTGGGAATGAATGAAGCTCCAAAAAGTGATACTTGAAGTTGAGTGTAGCCTTCAAAATATACACCAAGTGAAGTTTATTAGGAGTTCTTGTAAAAGGGAGTATTTGGGTGAAAAACACTTTGTAAAAGGATTGGGTAATTCCTTTAAACTACTCTTGATCACTAGTGGAGAGTGAGGAGGAAATCCTTGGTGAGTGAAGCCAAGGTAGAGGATTAGATATCAAGTGGTTGGGTTGAATTTTTATAATATCAATTTTGCAAGCTCTTTTTCCATTCTCTCATTGTTTTTCATTTAATGGTTGCAAAAAAAGAAAATTTTGAATACTCTAATTCACTCCCTTCTTGAAGTATTTGAGCCAACATAATACAGCACAACATATATCATCTTGAAAAATAAAAATTATTTTTCTCAATTAAAGATAGCCAAGGTTTATATTCATACAATATCTGGTATGACAAATTTGATTGAATGCTATAGAAAAGTTTGATTTTGTTACTTAGAGGAACAAAATTATTAATATATGACACTTTGTATTATGGTACATCAAATTGAAATCTACTAAGTTTAAAAAATAAACATTGTAATGATCTTCATATTGAAACAATAAATGAAAATGGGATAGAATTCCTCAATGTTACAACTTTTATATTTAGACAAAAGAAAATATTCGAGAAAACGTTAACTTTTCTTGTAAACTATATTATTCATACCTACACCTAATAG